TTTTTATTCTCAAAAATATTCTTCCCCATTAACTTATTGGAAAATGTTCTAAAATACTTGTAAGTGCAACATTTGAAAGGTTTTTAAATAACTGTGTATAAATAATAAATATATATTTGTTTTGTGTATTAATTAAACTATAGTTTGGCTACAGAAATTTACATGAACCCAGTTCATAGCATACATTCTTCTCATTCTCAAAAATACCTAATTGAGTAGATAGATAATGTAGTGTTTCAAATGTAATATGCCCAATACTAATGTCTCATTGTGTTGGATATGCAAGACTGCTCAGTGTAAGAGTTATTATTTAGTTTATTTGGTTATTTAATATTTAATGATTATTTAGTTTTCATAACAATAGTGTTAAAAGGTAATTTACTTTAAAAGCCATAGTTATGACAAGTTTCGTTACGTAACTCTGCACGAGTCGTACGTTGTGTAAGTAGTTTAATTGTTGTACTAGGCTTTTGTTATATTGTTGACGTCATCTTCCTCGAAGCTTCTAAGTTTTTCTCCTTATGTCTAATATTATTGCAACAAGAAGGCTAGATACGTGCAAATATAGAGAGGTAGTAAGTTAAGTTAGTGAAAGTAAAAGTGAAGTTAGACTGTCAGTGAGTTTAGACGTAATGGGCGATTTATAAGGTGAATATCACAACTTGTATTTTAATAACAGAGATAAAAAGAAAAATTTGTCTTGTTCAAGGGGGTTCTAAACTAACTAAACCCGTCTTTGTAGACTTTGAGGAAAGGAGACAATTATTTAAAACTCTGGATACAAGTGTGGTAACCAACAGTTATGGTGGTGATTTGGAAGTGAATTTCACAGTTTGTATTGTAACAACAGAGATAGAGAAGAAATAATTCGTCTTGTAAATTGATTTATAAGGTAACTGAACCAGTCTGTGTGGACTTTTGACGAAAAATTGATTCAACTATGATAACTTACAGTGTAAAGAATGTTTTCGTACATAAGTTTGACTTGTTTTGAATATATTGTTTTAAAACAAGTGCTGCCCGTTTAATATTGAAATTTATGGCCAACAAGTCACAGATACCTACTGTAAAAGATCCGGCCCTATAAAAATTTGACACATGACAAGTGTGATTGTAATTCATTTCTGACCAAAACAAAGCTAGAACAAAGGGATAAGTCATATAAAGATGTGATACATAGGAAAAAAACGGCGAAATGACATAAAATGCGAAGCTCTGTAAGATGTAATCTACAATATGAACCATCTTATATATAGATGTATATATATGTAAAGATGTAATGTTCAAATTGTAAAGATAAAGAATATTGGAGCAAATTTTACCACTCTTTTTTCATTGCAACAGAAATTAGTAACTAGGCACTAGTGTTGTACTCGTATGTATGTATTCCTTTATTAACTATTATTTTTGCCTTCTCCACAACAACACAATACTTCTTTTCCTTTTTTACTAATTATGTCTATTACTTTATAACATATATTAAAAGGATTTGTTTGTTTGTTTGTTGTGGATTTCGCGCAAAGCTACACGAGAGCTATCTGCGCTAGCCGTCCCTAATTTAGCAGTGTAAGAATAGAAGGAAGGCAGCTAGTCATCACCATCCACCGCTAACTCTTGGGCTACTATTTACCAACGAATAGTGGGATTGACCGTCACATTATAACGCTCCCACGGCTGAAAGGGCGAGCATGTTTGGTGTGACGGGGATTCGAACCCACGACCAACAGATTGCGAATCGAGCGCCCTAACAGCCTGGCCATATTAAATGGAATTTATGTTTGTCATGTTACAATACTCACACCTAGTTGCCCCAGGTGACACAGCTGGATGTCTGCGGACTTCCAACGCTAGA